CTGCTGCTGCTGCTGCTGCTGCAGCAGCAACAGCAGCAGCAGCAGCAGCAGCAGCAACGCCACAAAGCAGCGACGCGCGGGGTGTATTCCCCTCGACTCTCCCCTGGGGCTGTCTCCGTTCAGCAGCAGAGAGCAGCCTGAAGCAGGAGGAGCAGCAGCAGCAGCGGCATATGTCTGGTATCAGCAGCAGCAGCAGCAGGAGCAGCAGCAGCAGCAAGAACAGCAGCAGCAGCAGCAGCAGCAGCAGCAGGAGAAAGCGGCTCAAAAGAAGAAAAAGAAATCGCAGAGATTCAAAGAAAAGAAACTTCTCCCGCAGAGAAAACAAAAAAAGAAAAACAGAAAAAAACAAACCCAACAGAAAACGCATGCAGCACTCAAGGCGGATACGCAGCAGCAGCAGCAGCAGCAGCAGCAGCAGCAGCAGCAGCAGCAATAGCAGCAACGAGAGCGGCAGCAGGCGACCCAGCAGCACCAGAAGCAAGCGACCCGGCAGCAGCAGCAGCAGCAGCAGCAGCAGCAAGTTGCTTAGCATCAGCAGCAGCAAGCGGCCCACCAGCGGCAGCAGCAGCAAGCTGGCTAGCAGCAGCGGCAGCAAGCTGCTGAGCAGCAGCAGCAGCAGCAGCAAGCGACTCGGCAGCAGCAGCAGCAGCAGCAGCAGCAGCATGAGGATGTCGAAGCAGCACTCAAGCCGGCAAGTGCTGCGGCAGCACCTTCAGCGGAGCAGCAGCAGCAGCAGGAGACGCTTCAGGCGCAGCAGCAGCAGAAACAGCAGCAGCAGAACGAACAGCAGCAGCAGCAGCAGAAGCGGCAAGAGAGGAAGCAGCAGCAACCGCAACAGCAGCTATCCTCTGCAGCAGCAGCAGACCTTTGAGAGCCCTGCTGCCGGGAGAAGCAACCGCAGCAGCTCGCGCAGCAGCATCAGCAGCAGCAGCAGCAGCAACAGCAGGAGCAGCAGCAGCAGCAGCAACGCGCTCGATCCCCACAACGAACTAGGCAGGTTTGAACAGCTGCAGCAGCACAAGCTGCGGCAGCTGCTGCAGCTACGCAGACAGCAGCAGGAACACCAGAGGCAGCAGGAGCAGCAAAGACAACGGTGGCAGCAGCAGCAGCAGCTGCTACTGCAGCAGCAGAAGCTGCAGCAGCAGCTGCAGCAGCAGCAGCAACTCCAGCAACAGCAGCAGTATATGGAGCAGGGGCAGCAACTGGATGACCCCAGGCTGCTGCTGCATGCGCGAGAGCCGCCGTTTCACCTGCAGCAGCAGCAGCAGCGGCAGCAGCAGCAGCAGCAGCAGCAGCAGCATCTGATGCGTGTGGCCGAGCAGCACCCGTACCAGCAGAACGGATACATGCAGCAGCAGCAGCAGCAGCAGCAGCAAGAGCACCATCAAGATCATCAGCAGGAGTACCACCAGCAGCATCAGCAGCTGCAGCACCAGCATCACCAGCAGGAGCAGCAGCAAGAACAGCAGCAGCAGCAGCAGCAGGAGCAGCAGCAGCAGCAGCAGCTGCAGCAGCTTGTTGAGAGGATGGGTCGGCTCCGTAGAGAGAAGATTCGCCAGC